GAAATTATATTAAAGTATGGTTTCTTCTACATATTCTGACCAACTTTGTCTCTGCTACTCTTTTCTGCTATATAAATAGCTCATGGTTACTTTTCCTTGGCTCTTTGTTTCTTAGCTAGTGATGTGATTGATTAGTGGTATCTGGTTAGACAGTGCCAACATTCAAAAGACTTTGAATGATCTCATTGAACCACGGTTTATTAGTCACCTGTGATTTATACATGAATGGAATTTTACATGTTATAAGTAGATTTATTTTTTTCTCTTCAACCTTTTAACCAGTCCAATGTCCTATTAAAATGAAGTTACTTCTTGTCTACTTTGAGCTTCCTTTCTTTGTCTCTAAATGCAACCTTTAAAAAATATAAACTGGAAATATGAAGTAATTTTCTAATTCCTTTTATGCATAAGCCAGGTCCCTTTAGATGGATATGATAATAACTGTATGATAATAGCTATTTTTAATCATAAGTGTTATCTCTTATTTCCAGGTTTTCCATGGAAAGATAAAACCTTTGTTCCCTATGTGATATTATGGTAACTTACTGTGGTGAAAGTGTACCAACACTTTAATGTTAATTTCATATCTTTAAATAAGAATATAAAAATAAGAACATAAATCATCTAACCAAAGTGAATTATATAGGTACTGAATATCATATCTCTCCCCCCCACACACACACTTAACAATTTCCAAGTGGATAAAATGTTCAGATATACTGAGAAATTACTAGCATTTCTATAACAGAATATATTTCAAGACTGGTCAGAACTAGTTTTGTTGTTACAGAACACTGATTTTGTTGTTTTCTTCTGAAGAAGTTGGATTTTGGTATTGATAATACATTTTTCATTGGCAAATGCAGTGTATAGAATGTAACCTATTTAAGAATGTTCTGTGTGAATTTGAGAAGAGCATTTTCTGAGCTCCATAGACCAAGCTAAGTATTAACAATGCAGTACTTATGGGGTCATGTTTATTAATGACTCAATAGGAGGGACAAACGTGAAGCAAGTATAGGTGTAATTCACTCTTCATACTATCTTGCTACTGTAACAAACCAACAGGATGAAAATATTTGTATAGAGGAAGTGCTCTCTCTGATGTGTACTTTTAAAATTGCTTTGGAAGCCTCCAGAGTTTTAAAAATAGTTACTTCTGTTATATTTTAGGTAAGGCAAACACCTCTTCTGTGCTTATATGATAAACTTCCCCTATGTTGGCCTAGACCTGGATTCACATGTCAGTATGAAAGCAACATAATGGTGTTTATGAGTTAAGTGAATTCCTCAGGGACAAAAGAACCTCAAGGAATTCATAATAATTATGTTACAACTAGAAGGACATTGGAAGACATTTTGCCTAACTCATGAATTTCTCAAAAGAGGAAACAGAGGTACATTTTAACTAGAAATCAGAAAGAGCATGTACACCAGCAAAATATTTGCCACTTCCTTTTCCAGTTTTTGTTTAGGTTGAAACGAAATCTTTCATATTCACATAAGCTAGAATCATAAGGAAATCAGGGGAATCTCAGTGGTGGTACATCTATTCCTTCTGAGTATTCAAAGTACTCCAGGAGTGGGAAAGAAAGAATAGTATTTCTGATGAGACAAGCCAGGAAGGGATCCTCCTGGGACTGCTGATTCCCAACAGAGGCAGATTAACATTCCAGAAAAAAAAAGTGGCCATGGGGCTCACACAGCAAGAGTGTTAGTCTTGGCTCTGAGGCTATAGCCAGAGAGACAGAGAGAGAATAACAGTACATTTTAGGAATAATGACACAGCTTTTATAAATATGTTCATTTAGGGTCAGCCAACTAATGTTGGTTTTTTGTTTGCTTTTGGTTCTATTTTATAGTCCTGACTCTATAACTCTTAAGCTAATGTTAAAACTCTGGATACATTAAATTTTTCCCATGATTGACGACATTCATTTTAAGGATTTGAATTCAGAAAGACACAAAGAAACTTGCCCCCAGTCCTGTGAAATAAGATCATTTATCAGCTCTGCTTTATTTGCAAAAGAAGGTTCAGTTGCCCTTTATATTATTGTTAGAGCTCAAGACAATGTTTCTTTACTTATGAGCAGATGTTTGAAATCCTCCAGGAGGTTTCTATAAGACTATGGAAATGAACTTGGCATGGGTACTGGGCTCCCAGGTGGAGCGGTGCACATGAGCCTCCTTAGAAGTGTTAGATCAAGGCTAGTCCGGGAGAGCAACAGAGCCTAGCCACCAAAAGCCGAGCGCTTTGGTGAGTGACAGGTACAGGCTCCTTCTGAAGCATGAAAAGGAATGCTAAATGATCTCCCTGACAGAATAAATCTTCTGTTTGTTTGGTCTGGACCAGATGTGCTACAGGCTGATGTGGAAATGTCTGCTCATGCCAATTTCACTTTAAATCACAATTTGGCAGGCTGGGTAGTTTTGAAAGTTGCAGCCCATTTAGCACTTTAAACAGAAATGTTTTCTAATGGTCTTTCCAGTTAATTTGCAAATCTACACCAGTGCGCAAGTAGGGCTGTAAGAAGCTGTTCTCTAGAGACGTGGGTCACTTGATCAAAGAATTCTGTCTGGAGATTGAATGCGAAATATGGCTTTATTTCCTGTGCGCAACTCAGTAGTCTCTGTGTATGGACGGAGTAGTTCTGTGTGTCCAGCTCTGTGCTGAGAGCATTACCGCACATTTATTTCTTATTGTTGTTTCACATGCAAATTGTTTTAATATTGTAAAAACAGGAGTAAAATGCTGGTTACCAGCTTCCAACTGTTCTGAACAGTTCTCAAAATCTTGAGTTAGGAAACACCTAAAAAGACTTGCTCTTCTCAAAATATGTTATGTACTTTGAATCTATGGATGCTCTAAGGTCCATCACAGATGTGGCCTATAAAGAAATCTATGAGGAATTTTGAAGTTTAGGGATATGAACCTTGGAGAAGAGAAATTATATTTTGAATTACTTGAAAGTATAATGATCTTACCTTCATGTTTCTTCATAGAAGTGACCCTCAGAGCTCCAGTTAATGAACAGACATTTTCATTAGTACTCTTATTCCTGATTCTATGATGGTAAGAATCTTACTCTTTTTATTAATTTCTATATCCCAGGTGCCTGGCAAGAAGCCTGGTACACAGTAGCTGCTCAATAAAACTTTGTTGAATGAGTTAATTCAGATACTTGAATGTGCCTTTATCATTCAGTTGGTGATTAGAGAATGAGTTTGTTACTAAAACTCCAGAAAGAATATTCATTTCTGTGGATTTAGATGTAAAACTTGAGCTCTTACAATATTTCTTGATTAAAACATCTCCAAAGACTTCCCATCAATAATGGGAAATGAACATATTTGTCATTGAGTCTTGGAACAATGAATCTGTTGTTCCACTGTGAAATTTTAACTGGACTCAGTCTTGTGAAGATTTTGTTAAAAAGTTATTGTTTGTTTTTACCAACCCTCTACCATCTCTGTGAGGAGTACTCACAGAATAGTCATGATTAAAGTAAATTAAACATTTTGCTATAAAGACACTGTTTATATAGATGTAAAGACATCCTCACCTTCAGAAATACAGGAGAGGTCTTTTTTTTTTGTTTTGTTTTGGTTTTAATATTCATCTTAAATGAAAATACTTTTCTAGGCAAGACCAAAAACCCAGAGGCCTTATAAAAAAGAATTTAAATTAAAATGCAGAAACAATAACTTCTTCCTGTTAAAAAAATGAATGAAAAAAGTTAAAAACCAATTGCAAAGCAGAGGAAAGTGGCAACATATTTGAAAGCTCTGCCTTAATATATAAAGCTCTCCAAGTCAATTAAAATATATATATATATATATATAAAGCAAAAGGCACTCAAGACCATATTTAATGAGAGAAAGAGTAATTAGAGCTTAGTCAAACTATTATTTTTTCACTTGATATACTGATAGAGCCTAAAATGTTTGATAATACACTTAATGTAAGGAGTGAAGAAATAGGTACTCTCATGAATTATTGCTGGAGGTATAAATTGCTGTATCATATCTCAAGAGCAATTTCAAAATAGACCTTAAAATCAAGATTAAAATCACTTGACCTAACAGTTCCACATCTGAGAATTTATCTTATGGGTGTACCTGTACTTATGTTTATAAGTGCACATTCAAGGATAATCAAGAAAACTAAGAAAACTTCATGTAATATTGTTTGTAGTAGCCAGATACTAAAAATAATCTACTGATCTATTAGTGGGAGTAAACTAGTTAAATATGCTATGCAACACCCATATTATAGGATGGTTTGAAGTCATTAAAAAATGAAACTTTTCCATATATTCTAAAATGAACTAGGCTTATTTAAAAATGAATGAATAGTGGTCAAAATAAAATGCTGGTTTCTATTCTTTATTAGCTCTCTGTATTTAAAAATATACTTTTTAAGAATGAAATCTTGCCATTTGCAACTACATGGATGGAACTAGAGGGTATTACGCTAAGCGAAATTAGTCAGAGAAAGACACATACCTACGACTTCACTCCTATGAGGCCTTTAAGATACAGAACAGATGAACATAAGGGAAGGGAAGCAAAAATAATATGAAAACAGAGAGGGGGACAAAACATAAGAGACTCTTAAATATAGAGAACAAGCCGGGTTGCTGGAGGGGCTGTGGGAGGGGGAGGGGTTAAATGGGGGAGGGCATTAAGGAATCTACTCCTGAAATCATTGTTGCACTATATGCTAATTAACTTGGATGTAAATTTAAAAAAGTATATAAAATTTTTAAAAATACCTTTTTTTTTTTTTAAACTCAAAAAACATTTTTTTTTTCATTTAAAAAAGTATTTAGAACACATAAAACAAGGCAACATTTATTCTTTCTTCTCGTCTTCTGGTGTGGGGTCTGTTGGTGCTTCCTCCACGGTTGCACTGTTGCTCTCTGAGCCAGTGTTACTATCACTGGTCCCTTCCTCAGCCATACTGTCCACCCCCTCTTGCCCGCTCTCCTTATCCTCAGGAGTAGATGTGCCTTCCTCACCATTCTGTTGGCTCTCCGTCGCTTCCTCGAGGTGTGTCTCCTCTGTCTCCATCGGGATGCTCTCGTCGTCCTTCTTGTCCTCAGCCTTACTGGCAGCTTGCTCTTCCTCAGGAACCATGCTGCTCTGACTGCGTTCGGCTTGCTCCGCTGCCTCTTTCTCTCTTTCCTCCTGCCTTTTGCGAGCCTGTTCCTCTGCCTGTGCAATTTCGGCGGCAATTTTTTCCACATCCTAAAGTTGTGGGAGATTGGCAAGATTATTGGTGGCATGTGGCGAGATCTCACTGATGAAGAAAAACAAGAATATTTAAACGAATACGAAGCAGAAAAGATAGAGTACAATGAATCTATGAAGGCCTATCATAATTCTCCTGCATACCTTGCTTACATAAATGCAAAAAGTCGTGCAGAAGCTGCTTTAGAGGAAGAAAGTCTACAGAGACAGTCTCGCATGGAGAAAGGAGAACCTTACATGAGCATTCAGCCTGCTGAAGATCCAGATGATTATGATGATGGCTTTTCAATGAAGCATACAGCTACCGCCCGTTTCCAGAGAAACCACCGCCTCATCAGTGAAATCCTTAGTGAGAGTGTGGTGCCAGACGTTCGGTCAGTTGTCACAACAGCTAGAATGCAGGTCCTCAAACGACAGGTCCAGTCCTTAATGGTTCACCAGCGAAAAATACCTTTTTAATACATTTGTAGTATTCAGAAATATTTGAGAATCTGTGTGTGTGTGTGTGTGTGTGTATGATGTTAACGTATATCATAGTAAAGTTAGTAATGGCTAATTAAACTTCACTTAACTGTCTCATAAAGCAATTTGTAATAAGCCCTAACTTTTGGTCACATTTACAGACATTAGAATTTGTCTAGAGATTTTCATTGATGTGGTGTTTTATCTTCCATAGGGAGAATACGTAAAAGTTTTTTCCTGTGTGTGAAACTTTTGGGGCCATTAAAGTGCCATTTTGTAAAATGACTGTTCCAGTGCAATAAATGTTGCCCTGGGAACCTGAAAAAGTTTATTATCCTCCTAAAAAATGCATATTTTATTTTTTAGTCACTGCAGGAATGAACCTCATAAACTGGATGAGTTTAATGGGCTCACACTGAGCTTAAATGGTGGTATCCGCTTTTTCAGTGCCTTTTATCTGCCACATTGTTAAAAAGTTCCAAAGAGACTTTTTTCCACAGACCCTATCAAGTCCAAAGGAAGAGGCTATTTTCATGACATCTCTGAGTGCACTTTGGGGATTTGTCTCTAAGCCCAGCCCCCAGAGGAAGGATACCTTCCTTCCATGTGATTGGTGCAGCCCCCATGTGATTCTCCACTAACTGCTTGGCTCATACAATTACCCTCTGACAGAGAAAGGATACCTGTAAAGCTGAGGTGCCATTCAATACCTTAACAATTGTGTGCTGATGTTAAAAAGTAAATTATCATCCATCACACAAGCACAAATATTGAAAATGGAATTGCAGATCAAAGAAAATGCAATCCCAGAAGACCATTTTTTTTTTCTTTCTCAGTTTGTCTATGCAATGAGTAGCCTAGTGCTCTCTAGGATGCTGGGAAATGTTCATATTGTGGACTGCAATCCTAAGAGTGGTCTCTGTGATTAGTTAACACCGTATGACCAAGTCTTTGGGCAGTTGTGTTGGATGCATTAGTAAATTAATATAGATGGGTTGGCAACCTGGTGAATGAGGCACCAAGCTTCTCCTTATTTTAGGTCACGTGGGAAGGAAGGAAGTCAAAAAATATGGATGAGGAGAGAGTCTGAAGTTTTAACTGTGGAAATTGGCTTTTGTTTTGAGCAAGTGGAGAGAGATGATTTAGAAAAAAAGGGTGGCAATGACTTGTGTATATGTATTTAAAATATGTGTCTGTGTTTAATGTAGCATTTGTCATAGGTAGGTTGCCATGTTTTACTCATGTGTTTGCATGATTTCTCACCATGGTTTTGAGAATCCTTAGAAGATTTGTGAACGGACTTCAGGATGACCGTGAACTTCTAGAATTGAACAGCTTTTTCTTGTAAGTTCATTTTGTCCCCCATCGCAGAGCCTGTAAAATTCACTAGAGTCTCAAGGAGATGAATGTAGCTGATGATGTGCATAGATCTAGTTTGTTGAGATGCACAAAAATATTCAAGCTACTATATATCCTAGCAAATTCTTCAGGAAGTCTACCAAATCTATAGAGGTACATAGCTAAAGGGAGTGTGAGAAGAAACAGGCCCAGAAGGTTTTAGGAAGCCTCCAAAGCTGTGCTTACATATCTTCCTGGTTCTAGAAGGCAAAAGTGATTCTCATCACTGTAACAAGACACAATGAATACATCCACCATTCTAAGCTACAAATGCTTCACCCTAACAGAGTATATCTAAATATATGCATCGGCAATCAAAAAGAATGAAATTTTGCCATTTGCAACTACATGGGTGAAACTAGAGGGTATTATGCTAAGTGAAATTAGTCAGTCAGGGAAAGACACATATCATATGACTTTACTCAGATGAGCTCTTTAAGATACAAAACAGATAAACATAAGAGAAGGGAAGGAAAAATAATATAAAAACAGGGAGGGGGACAAAACATAAGAGACTCTTAAATAGAGAAAAAACAGAGGGTTACTAGAGGGGTATGGGAGGGAGGATGGGCTAAATGAGTAAGGGCATTAAGGAATCTACTCCTGAAATCATTGTTGCACTATATGCTAACTAACTTGGATGTAAATTAAAAAAAATATATATATATATATGTAATGTATTTATCGTTGTGGACAGTGCACTGAGGGCTTCCTCATCTGGAAACATTTAAAAAAATTTTTAAATGTTTATTTTTTTGAGAGAGAGAGAAAGGGAAGGGAGGGTGCTGAGGAGGGGCAGAGAGAGAGAGAGGGAGATACAGAACCTGAAGCAGGGTCCAGGCTCTGAGCTAGGTGTCACCACAGAGCCAGATGCAGGGCTCAAACTCACAAACCGTGAGATCATGACCTGAGCTAAAGTCAGACACTTAACTGCCTGAGCCACCCTGGAGCCCCTGGAAACATTCTTTATGGGGTCCCTTCATTAAGTTGCACCCAAATTTGTGATCATAAAATGTTTAAATATTGTCATTGTTCTAGTGTTAAAGCTTCTATTTTTGTTGCCTCTCTTTTTCAATAAAAATGAGGGGTTGAATATTTGGTACCTCAAATTCATATCTCAGTCATTTCCTTGAAATGCTCAGAAGAATGTATGGGAATTCATTGCATGCAAGATTCATTATTTGTTCCACAAACATTTGCAGAATGCTTAACATGTACCAGCAACCAGATCTGTTATTGGGATTGCAAAGGTGAATGTAATGTCTGTCTCTGTGAAGCTTGCAGATTAATGGAGCTGGGGGCTGGAAGAGACAGCACAATAAGATTCTAAATTAAAAGCCTCATGAATGTCTACTGTTTTATATCAAACTTTCTTATCAATCCTGTATTTGAGATCAGAATATAAATACTTCTGGCAGCTCTGTGTTAAGTTAGTGGTATTTCAGTGATTTGCAACCTTTGGTGCCCAGCAGATCCCCTTGCAGCATTTTAAATACAGTTGCCTGGGGCTGCACTCAGACCTTCTGAATCAATAATCCTGGGGTTGGGGTCCTAGTGTGTACATTTTGAAGAGCTCTCCAGTGCTTCTGATGAGTCATAGATTGACGCCCTCTGAAGTTTTATTACATTTTTATTATCTGATCAGTAGTATGGTTGTATCACAAGAGTATTTAGAAAAAAATGTCAGGCCCGTTACTAGGAACCACAGGCCAGTTTCACCTTTGTCCTTACCCAGTGTCCACAAGTCCTGTTGACATGTTAACCTTAGGTGTGGCATAGTCTTGCATGTTTGGGTAGTTGTGTTGCTAAACTTTGTTTTTTTCTAAGCTGATTATATTGCTCTTGGTTACCGGAATGCCGTTTACTCCAAAGGGAAGATAAACTATATCAACGGTTCGAAAGTCATTAAAATAGACCTCGAGGAATAGTTAAGTCCTTATGGAAAACCCTGACACCTGTTGTCTTTTACAGAAATCCCAAGTCTACCTCATACATTTTCTTTATTTTTTTCTCTCGTTCTTGGGAGATGATTTCCATGAAAATGAGATCTTTATTTCTTGAGAGTTCATCTGTTCTTGCTACTCAGAGGAAAAAAAAATGCTTAAAATTTACACTCGGTGAGTTGAATTAGAATACGTCTGAGCATTTTCCGCAAGGATCAGTAGCTTTTTGTGGTCTATCAGGAATTCAAGTCCTGCTGCCTACCAGCTGCTGTTGGGATGGTTTGCTCGTGCTGTTTTCTTGTGGACATGTCGTTCTCAGGAGCGGCCATTCCGGCTCCTGCCACTGCAGTAAGGGAGAAGGCTGCATTTTCTCCAGTCTGCGTTCTTAAACTTTACCCTCCCTGTAATCTGGTTAACGCTGGAGTCTGACAGCAGCTTTTCCTTAGAGCATTAAGTTCCAGATGATGGACATAACACTTTATGAGCTAGAATTTCTTTTCATAATTCTTTTTTATGTGTCACTTCCCCCTTTATTTTATATCCCTTTGTAACTACAAAGTAGGTACTAACGTAAGGAAACGTAACAGACGTTTTGTAATTAGACACTGTCCTGGGTTGGCATTTGCAGATAGAGGACCTGACAAATGTTTTCTCCTTCAGCTAGTTGTTTTCCTTTGTACTCATTATACTAGTGTCTGAAAAAAACTTTGTGCTATTGTTTCAACTTAGAATGTGTTAGCAAGGGAGGAAAACAAGTGCTATGCTTCTGTAACACTGCGATTTATTGCCTTTGGATTTGCATGGAATTGGTGATTAATTTCTTTAACAAAGACTCATGGGATTCTAAAAACTACATATAGCAAATTGCATTTTAATAGAATTTTGAGTACTAGAGGAGTTATGGTGCATAGCAAAAAAAAAAAAAAAACACAACAAACCCAAAATAATATAGTTCTAATCTTTAACATCTCCTAAATAATCATTTTCTTGACCTATATGTATGAAATTTATAATCAAATATTATCAAAAATAGAAGCCATGCATTCAGATTAATCTATTAATTTTCTCTAATTGGTTAAAGAAAATAATACAATGAAACTATATGTTCTGCTTTACAATTTTATTAGTGAGAAAAAAATCCATTTCTTTAATTCATATAGCAAGGGTCCCAAGACAAGTTGGAAAGAGGTTCCTAAGAAAGCTTTTGTTCTTTGGAACCGTCCTGAATTTTCTTTTTGCAACATTTATTCTTTTAGTATATAGTAGCTTACACTGATGTTTACCTACTGCACAACCACTCTTCTCTGTCTTCTCCCATCGGCCAAACACAACTAGGGAGAGAGCTGGAAAATACCAGATACTGACTTTCTGAATTTCCTCCCAGCTAAGAAAGACCACATGAGCTAGAACTGGTCTATGACACATGAAGGAAGTTGCGCTGGAGTTTTCTGGAAGAATATTCCTCCTTGATGAAGGGAAAAAGGTAAGATATATGAATGGGAACCCCTGTTTTTCCTTATTGATTTTGTACATAATTTGTATGAAGACGTAATACTGAGAACAGCAGCATCCATTCTGCAACCAAGAGGAGAGATCATCAGCTTCTTGAGTGTAGCAGAGCAGGTGGATAGGAGATCCTGGGTATTTGATGACATA